AAAAGGTACATGGGATGTGTTTGCTTTGACGGACAGGTCTATCAGCCAATCACGCTCAGCTGTGGAGGGTGCTGAGAGCTTGTTTCACATCAGCTACGAAGATTCTTTGACCTTCGGTAACAGATAATAATAAACCTTTGAGTAAACACGTAGACAATACACAGAAGTAAAGAGAGTGTTAATCAATTCATCAGTGATCGATCAGTCCTGTGGAATCTGTGAAAAAGAAAATCAGTTTCTCCCAATAAAAACTATCCCATAGTTTCCGATTAACTTGTGTTAAACGTGCAGGTAGACAGTTTGTGCTGAAGTGGTGCGGGATGTCTGACCACATCTGAAATGTTAGCAGTGATTTCTTGGTCATTTCTCCACAATTATCGAAGGAATCAGATTATAGTGTGTGTTCATATTATTGCACAGATTTGTCATCAGACAGCGTGAAGCTAACATGCTAGCACCGCTAAGGTTTGGGCTACGCTGCCCGCTCACTAAGCCCCTCCCTCTAACCTGTCAATACATCATCATCATCATCATCATCATCATCACCACTGTCACCGTGACAACTTACCAAAACCTGCTGCTGCCATTGAGGACCTCACACACTAACCTCATCACCTGTTCACCAACAACCAATGAGAGTTAAAGGAGCAGCCACGAATATCGTCGAGTTCAGGATGTGTTTAGCTTAGCTAAGCACAAACACTGGAAGTGGGGGGAAACTGCTAGCCTATCAATCCATGCTCCAACAAATCTAACGCAGTTTACAAAAACTAAACTCAATTTAAAATGCTGAAAAAGTTACCGTGACAAAGATCTGTTGAATGTTACGATCGAACCTGGCAGAGAAAAACATGGAAATGAACAGAATCAGCTGTGAAGGAGGAAGAGTGGCACGATTGACGATGATGAGGATGATGATGATGAGGGTGGTGATGATGATGAGAAAGTGTCAATAGTTTGACTCCGTCTTAAAACCTTTCATGATTCGCTGAAATGTGCATGGAATGAGTAACCTTAAGGTATAAAAGAGTTTGAGCCTCGGCATCCCCCCAAAAAATAAAGAATTTCTCTCTCACTTGAAGAAAGATTAAAAGATGATTAGGACATTTAAAGTATTTCCAAGGGAAGGCGATCTCCTGTGCTCCGACAACACATTTAAATACTTGTTACTACTAGCTACTAGCTGTATTTAGTAGGAAAACAGAAATATCAGAACATAAATCGTATGTTAGTGGTGGAGGAGATGATGGCAGTACTGTAAGCAGTACTGTAAGCAGTACTCGTAGTTATATTATACTTTTAGTGGTAGTAGTTCTAAACCTGGCATTTGATCAGGTTAGAAAAAGTAAACAGGGTGTGGGGCAGAATAAAAAACACATGAATGATGGCTCACAGGGGAATGTATGCTGGAGGGGGCGGCGTGAACAGGCTCGTCCAGACTGGCGTTCCCAGCATGCATCAGACCACTTTCATCAAACCAACTGAGACAGCGGGCGCCACCTCTCTTCGTCCTGTCGAGCGAGCGTGTTAAAAACCAGGGGGGCGGGTCACAAGCGAGGTGGGCGGGTTGCGTCACGTTTCATCATCAGTGTTACAGACATACAGTGTTACAGACACATAGTGTTCCACACAGACAGTGTTACTCAGCTATACAGTGTTACAGACGGACAGTGGTGCTGCTCAGGCTGTGGTTGCTAAGGCTGAAGGCAAACAGGAGAGGGGGGGGTTGCTCAGCTGTCGCCATGGCTACAGGTGGTGTTGTCTGGGGGGCAGGGGCGATTGCCGTGGCGACACGGCAGCCAGCAGCTCGCTGTAGATCTCCCGTCGGACCTCCTGCGCCACGCTCTCTCGAATCTGGAGAAAATGTGTGTGAAAAAAAATAAATAAATTGAGACAAATGTAAAGTGTCTCTAGAAATGCCACCAGACGTGTGTCAGAAAATCTACGACAGTCACCTCTCTGATGAGCTGCTGCAGGTTCCCCACTCCGACTGCTCCTGCTGCTCCTTCCTCTGGAGCTTCTCCACCTCCTCCTCCCTCCCCTCCAATCTTTCGCTCCTCTTCCTCCTCCTCCTCTGCTCGTGTGTTGGGTCGAGGAGGAAGGACAGGGGTAATGTTGATCGACGCCCGGTACACACCCTGACTCTGCTCGTGGTCTCTACCTCCTCGGCCTGGACTGGACGATCGGGAGGAGGGGTTGGTGGTGGGGGTGTGACCGTCGTAGCTGAGCTCTGATTGGAGGAAAAGCTGCTCTCTGAGGAGATCTGACACCTGGAGAGATCGTAAAGTTTGTACAGTAAAACAAACTTTATCATTATTGAGGCATTATTGACTTTATATTACTGACGTGAAAGTGTGTGTGTGTGTGTGTGTGTGTGTGTGTGTGTGTGTGTGTGTGTGTGTGTGTG